TTTCTCCTGTGGGAAATGGGGGTCAGTAATGTTTAACATGTCAGATGATGTGAGGATTAGAAATAATAGACCACATGTTTGATAGACCAATTCTAATGTTTGGGGCAAAGTAGGAATTCAGTGAATTCAAAATACATATTCAATGTTACTCTCATCTTTGCTGTAAACTAATAGATTCTAAAGAGTATCTTAAGTCTTTATATTTTCCCTTTTTGTTTTTTACCTTTAGTTGTAGGTCTTTAAGAAATGGGGTATAAATAGCCGAGACTGTGCCATGTAAGAAAAGCCTAAGAAGTTATATAAAAACTCATCATAATGCTATATTTGGTAAACAAAAAGTAAGAATCCAAAGTTGAAGAATTTATATTAATAGAGAAGAATGTGTACATCTGGCCTTTGAGGTCCTTGTCAGGGACCAGCCTCTCTGGAGGAAGCACGAAGGGCGGTGTCTCGTGTCTCCCAGTCACCCGCTCTCACTGCCCTGAGGAGGTGGATGAGGAGGGCTTCTGATCCCGTGCTGGAGGGCCAACTGCCGGTCCTCCAGAATAGCTGCTGGAGGTGCTCCGTGTGCCAGCAACAGAAGGCCTGGTGGGCTGGCAAGCATTTGTGACATGGTGCTGTGACTTCCCCTGTGGTGGCTGCCCTCCCAGGGATTGTCCACCACACCTTGCTTTGTGTTTGCCTGGTATGGTGTTGGATGTGTTCCATTCTTCTGCCTACCCTCCCTCCCTTCATTTCTCCCAGCCTTCCTCTCTCCCCTTCCTTCCATCTTTCCATCCATCTTTCCCTTCCACCCATCCTCTAGGAAAGCAGATAAATTCCTTGCCTCGACGAGCTTCCTTGTAGAGTCAAAGCATACTCAATGATTATCTTTTTTGTGCCTAATAGCTAGTATGTGAGTTTTGAATTTTTTGGTAATTTGATTTGGTAGGTGAGGAAACAGATATTTTGAGAGCAAATGACCTGACTCAGGATAATAGTGCTATGAACAGAACCCATTATTTTTCATTTTAGTTTAGTTCCCTTTCTCATGTGACACTGTTTTCTACTCTAAATGTTTTCCATCACCAAATGCTTTTCACATTGTTTTTTTCTTAATCCATGTAGCCAAAAGAATTTAAAAGAACATTAAATGAGTTCAGTGGACCTTCTTTAACCTTTCAGTGTGTTTCCAGTACTGTCAGGGTGAGATTTGAAATCCCAAAGGTAGTCTACAAGCGCTGCCTTCTTTGGCCATGTCACCTTCTCAGCTTTATCTTGAGACACTCCCCTTCTTATCACCTGTCTTCTAGACACATTGGCCTTCTTCCCCCACCTTGAAAGCATGGTGTCCTCTCCAGCTTCATACCTTTGCACATGCTGTTCCCTCTGCTTGACATGCCCCTCTCTACTCCCCTTACTGACCCACCACCCGACCCTTCATCAAGCTTTACTCAACTTGTAGCTCTCAGCTTTAGTGCCTCATCTGAGGGGAGGCCTTCCTGATTCCCCAGCCGAGGTCAGGTCCCTGGATCATCTACACTTTCTCTCAGAACTCTGTGGTTTTTCCTTCATAGCATGCCTATCACAATCCATGGACTTGTTTATTACCTTCCTCCTCTCTTGGAAGTTAGAAAATAAGCTCTATGAGAGCAAGTCATCTTGTTCCTGCTACTGTGTCTCTACCTGACACTGAGCCTTATATTAGATGCTCCAAAAATATGTGAATAAATAAAGAATGAATACTCTGGCAGCATGGAATGACGAGTGGCACAAGCAAATTTAAATGCTTATAATTTCAGTTTCTCTTGCCTCCAGAATGTGGATTCTAGCAGTGAAGACTATTTATGAAATGGTGTAAGTTCCTCATGTTTTACTAATGTTTAAATAAGGAACAGGAAAGTGACTATCAAGACTGGGAAAGTTAGTAAAGTGGCAACAAAAAGTAACAAAAGGGAAAACAAAACCCAATACAGTGCCTGGGGGGAAAAGACAGAAGCCAAGTTACTTGTTTTTGTGTCTCTCTCACACTAAACCTGAGCAATTTGAAGTCAAATACCAGAACTTGTTTGTGTTTACATCCTCAGAGAAGGTACAGTGCCTAGCTCATTGTAGCTGTTGACTAAGTGTTGAATGAATGAATAAATGAGTGAATGAGTAAATGTTACACCTCTACCTTTGAATCTGGCTTGTGTTCTTAATGCTGATATTAGAAATAGGGATAGTATGATTTATGGAAAGAATACTGAATTTACAGCCAGAGACACCTAGGTTTAAAAACTGCAATGGAAATTAAAATAATTATGCCTACCAAGTGAACTTGTTGGGAGGGTGGTGTACAGATGGTGTGTGTATGAGGGATTTATCAAGTGCCTGGTCCATGCAATAGGTCCTCAAGAGATTTTAGCTCCCTTTTTCTGCTTCCCTCCCTTTCATATTGTCCCAGAAAGACTTTGAGGCATATGGTATATAAATTGTTAAAATAAGGAGGGAGCATCTCAAGGCAGAATCATGGCAATCGAATGCGAATCAGCACATGGCACTCAGTTACCAAATCAAGTATGATGCTGGGATTCTCAAACAGCAGTGCGGTACGCCGCATAGGAATTGGGGAATGATGTGCCTGTTGTTCTTGTCCGTGGTTAGCGTATTACTAGAAAAGAGAGACCCAACTGATTTCCAAAGTCCTTGAGTTTAAAACGTTCTGTTTTGACCTCCATCATTTATGTTCTCCCCATCTTTACTTTCAAATATCACCTAACCCCAGCCGTTCCTCAAATTATTTCTTCTACTAGTTTTATTCTGTTCTCCACAGTAAATGCCTTCTTTTATTTCCACTAGTGCAAATTCAAATATTTATGATGGGTGGATGGAGAATGTGTTTTATAACACCTATTTTTTGGTGCAAAATATGCAAGCACTGGAGATACAGAAACAGTTACTTCCTCAAGGAATTTGAGTTCAGCAGGGGAAATAGTGGTACTTTCTGGTAGGGGCAGTATAGGTACATGTACAAGTGATAAAGGAGGCAGTGATGAGCAATAAAACCTGGGTCTAGCACAGGTGAGGGATGGTAGCATAGGCCACTTATTGAAAAATAAGAGTTTGTTGTGTGGACAGGTGGGAGAGGGCATTCTAAGTAGAGGAAATACCACACAGAGAGACAGGGAGATGTGGACAAGCAGCTGTGTGCAGAGAACTCCAAGTAATTAGACGCTGCTGGATTGTTAAGCATGAAGGCTGCTGTGAAGTCTGGCAGTGCCAAGGGAGGTTATGGAATGTCTTTTTTTGGAGTCTCAAAAACCAAAATAGAGCATTCACATCTGCTTAGGATGGTTTGGGTAGTATTTTTGCCAAAAGGAAAATCATATACTGTGTGTCAGATAAAAGGTCAATCAGTGACTGTTACATAAACATTGAAATTGTATTAATTAATTTAAAAGAAAGGGTTCAAACTTTGCTTTTTACTCTATTTGCTATTCCAGTATGTACAGTTTCTAGGTCACCTAAGGCAGCCTATTGTATGACATTCTACTTCTTCTTAGTGAAACAAATGCATTTGTAAAAAGCAGTACAAATTCAGTGTCACCCTTTCTCCATTGGAGGGGTGGTTTCTTTCTTAGCAGAGGTAGTTCAGGGGCTCAGTGTAAGAGTCTGGAGAGAGGGTGGCCTCTCCTTGTTCACTCTTGGCTGCCTAGGAGTGAAAGGGACCTTCAGATAATATATACCTTTAAACTGTTCGTGTTGCCTGCTTCCTGGCCTTGCCAGGCCAAGGAACTGGGTAGTCAGTTCACAGGTCCGAGCGCTGGAGCAGGCCTGCTGCGCTTGCAGTTGCATGCCTTTTATGGAACAGAGAGTGTTGTTTAGGGAATTTAGGCAGCTGGAACCTGCCGCATTAGCAATTTGGACTAAGGAAGAATTTCTGAGTGAGAAAATAAAGCTCACTATATAATTTCATTTGGGTATTTAGGAGGCCAAGAGGGAAGTGGAAGAGAGTATTATGACGGCAAGCAAGAGCGTTTCATAAACAGCTCGCTCTCTATTCATTTTTACTGTAAGAGCTGGATTTAAATAGGGTGATCACGTGGCCTATTTTGAAAAGGGCAGTCATGTTCTTCTGCTATTTCTTAGCTGTTTTGTCAGTTGGAGCAAAACAACAGTGCTGCTCATTTTTTGCAGGGTTAGAGGAAAAAGGAAGGACTGGCAGAAGAATGGGGTGGGAGGCTGGAGAAGACAGGAGAGGCCAAAAGTGTCAGAATGTGGGGACAAGGACCTGAAGGAGGCCTGCTTGGCCTCAGGGATGGGGCCTGGAACTCTGCCTTCTTGAAGCCTGTTGACGATCTCATCCCAATTTAGCCTTTTGTGGAATCTTCCATGAGATGCATTTGCCAACTTCAGTCTTCCTAGAGAATAGAGCCTGCCGACTCTGTTATGAAGTCTACCCAGAAAAGCTGGCAAAGCAGGCACCCTCCTTAGACCCAGGATAATGCTGACGTGAAGTGAAACTACTCTCCTCCTTTAAGAAAACTCACGCAATTCCTCACACCTGCCTCCCCACCACCGCCCACCCCTGGGCCCCTCCCACACACAAAAATATCAGCCCTTAGCAAAAACTAAAATTGACTGTAAAAGTGGCTGTAAACCTTTGGTTATTCTTTTTTGTGTGTAAAGCGTCAACCTGTTTTATCTTCATAAACAACAGAATGTTATTTTTTTCCAGTAAATTCACAGAAGATAACACAGACCAGATTCAAACAGAATTAAAATCACTAGTAAGTCAGAGTCTGACTGAAAAGAAGAAAAAAGGGAAAAAAAAAAAAAAAAAAAAAAAAAAGAATATGTTCTTTAAAAAAAGTACATTATTTCATTGGTCTTAAAATGTGTCTAAAGGGGAAATCATTTAGGTTACTGGTGGTTTCTTTCTTCATCATACTAACTTAGATTAGTAAAGTGTGATTTCAACAGGTTACGGGGAGTTTGGGAATAGAGAGTTTTATATTTTTTCTCTTTTCTTCTCATAGCAAAGTACACAGGTATCTGACTGTAGAGACCCTTGAATGGAGGGAGCTATTCTGACTGACTTGGACAGTGGTCAGGACTTGGACAGTGCGGTGCCACGGGACGGGTGGCTGCCAGACAGAGAACCAGACTGGCTGCACTTTCTTTCCACCTCTCTCCTACACCCAAATGTGGAGACTTTGAGCAGAGGTTAATGTATCCTTTTCTCCTTTAAAAAAATGTGTTCCCTGCTCATTTCCAACACAGACTTAAGGTTTGTACCCACTAATCTTAACAGGAGCTACGTATTGAAAGTATATAGTATGTGTTTTTAAAAATTGAATGTAATGTGTTATTTAGGTTTTATTAAGTAGTCCTGTTTTTAAGGTATGCACCAATGGGCTAAAATTTGCCTGAACTACTGAGATTTAGATTATTTAACTTTCATTGGCATTGGAGGATTAAAAAAAAAATAAAGCTATTAAGATTAAACATCAATATCACATAAATCTTTCTAGGAAAGTATAATCAAAGGCATCAAGGTTGTCTCCTACAGTTGGTGGTTTCTGTTTATCTTGGTTCCTGGAGCTGTCACAATGTCATTGAATTTCAAGAATTCAAAAAGTAAAATAAAAATAAAACTGATAGTTTTGAAAGGGAAAGATCCTGGAAGTTGTCTTTTGTTTTTAAAATAGTCATTTTCATCTTAAAAATAGAAAAAACCCAGAAAATTGTTTTTCATTTATTAAGAATAAAACCCCAGCTTGTACTTTTGAATTAATGCAAAAACCAGTACTTTATAAACATTAATAATCACTGTGAAGGCTACTAATTACAACTCTGCTTTTGATTTATTAAAAATATGCCTTCAATTTTCTTCGTCTTTACCAATCACCTTCTTTAATTATAAGAAGGGATTTCGCTAAAACATTGAACTCGTTGGTTTGGAAGCATCTAATTTTAGAAGAAGTTTATTGATTTTTATTGCATAAAACAGAACATTTTATTTTAGGATACAAATCATGCTATAACTTTACTGGGGGTGTTTGGCCAAAGGTAAAAAAAAATACACAGAAGGAAAAGTATATTTCACTAATACTGTGTACGTTTTTACAACAGAGTATATAACATTTGGATTCAGTTTTAGCTAGCAGTAAACTCATCTGTTTAGTAATGATTTTTAAAATAGGGAAAAACAATCTGCTAAAGCAGACAAGGTACTTGCTAGATATTTAATTTGGGTGAGCTGAAATTTGATAGTGAAGCAGGATAATTAGAAAAGCTTTTTTATCAGCATCTAAATATTTTCCCTTTTCTTTAACATTGCAGTTACGTGCAAAGAAATCCCTGAAATCAGATACTTAAGCTATGTGAAAGGAATTCGGAGGATTATAAGCTATCCACATTTTTCTGTGGCATGAAGATTTTTTTTTTCAAAAAAAAATTTTGGAGGGGAATTTTTAAATTTATTAATTCTCCCTAATGCGTTGTTTACCAAAGGTTTTATTTTTAATAGTAATAAAATTTTTTAAGGAAGCTATGACTCCATTTATTTTTGTTTGTAGTTATTTTTGATTGATTATTACTGTGATCAGTACATAAAAATTAGATGGAATGGAATATAGTTATGTGAAAATCATATTCTTAACATCAATACCTACCTACCTAGAAAATACAGGAGTCATCCTTGATCATTTACAATCATTTTGAAATTCTCTCGTCATTTTTTTTTAAAGCCAGTGTTGACTAATAATATTGTGTGGCTAGTTATTTATTCTTGTCACAGAAGGTTGGTTATTTTTGTACAACCATAGTTTTTTCCTAATAGAAATAAGTTTATTTGCGATATCAAAAAAAAGTATGTACGTTTGATAATTTTGTTGTATAAAGTAGTTTATACAACAATACCTGTGAAAAGCTCTTTGACTTTCGGTTTTAAAACAAGTTCTGTAATTTGGTGAGTCCTACAGAGATTCTGGCTTTCTGGCCTGCCAGCTAAATAATTTTTGCAGTATTTTCCTTTGCTTTCTTATAAACATTTAAAAATTTTACTTGCTTTTTCATAAATCCAGCCATTAAGTTAGAAAGTCCCAAAGTAACATGAGATTGTCCTTTATTTTTTCATACATCAGGGAGGAGTGATAGATTTTGTGTATCCCCTGTGAGTTGTTAAAACAGACGTACTTTGGGCTACTACTCTCAGGAGGCAGGATACTTTCTTCATTACAGATGAAATTATTTTGTCTAACTGCCTTACTTTAAAATGAGTTTTGTTGCATCCATGCTTAGGCAAAGATACTTAATTTTATATTTGTTGAGACTATCTTGTAATATACTTCTCCCAAGTTTGGGATAAGCATAGAATCCTTTTAGACTACAGGTGACTGTCTGACTTACTAGAAAGGATGACCCACGTGAAAACAGTAGCTAAGGTTTATGGAATCCCACCTTTAAGGTTATCAAGAAAAAAAGAGTTAAAACATGGAAGGTGCTAACAGTAGCACTTTATTGCCTCTCTAAAGCCTGGTATCTCAAAGGAAGCTTTGGATTTTATTCTCAACTATAAAAATTGTTTAAATTTGAAAGCAGAGAAGACATGGAAGTATATTACATCCTGTACATAAGGCCCACTCTTCTCTAGGTGTGTAGTTATTAATCTTGGTTTGCGTTTACAAATTACATAGTACGAGATGAATTTGCAGATAGGGTTGGTGGAGGTTAGTGCATGAGGCTTAGAAGGAGGAAGCTGATAAAATAATATTACTCATAAGACTTTCTGCTTCAGTTTTTTACTCTGGAAATGCTATTTAATAGTTTTTAGCATTGGTCAAAGTAAATAGGCTTAGAAACAAAACATATATAATTTCTCCTTTGTAAAATATGGGGGCTGGACTGTGCACTTTCTGGGTTGTTTACAGAGACCTGAACCTTCAATTTTGAACTCTGTTACACACTCTGTGCTCCACCTTTCTAATCTGCACACCACGTTTTTTATTATCTGATTTGCAAGTTAATGTTATGAAAAGTTCTCTATTGTAATGCAAAAAGCTTCAACTTCAGGTCCTTGCTGATATCAACAACCCAAAGGCACTATTCAAACCACCTCGGTAAAGAAAAATCTTTTTAAAAGATGGCCAATTTTGCTTTCATGTTAACCTAAAATGAAGTTCTTGAGCCACATCTGGCTGCAGGGTAATCCAATCTATTTTAATGCAAAGATTTTCCAAGAAGGCAGGAAACAGTCAAGGGGAAGGCTTTCAGGCATCTGCTCTTTCGTTTCCAGATCCCTTGTGTTAATTTAATGTTTCTAGGGAACTGGGCTTTTACTTTTTTCTCAGAATCCCTTCTCTAGGAACTGGTGAGTGCAGTGGCGCTGTGTGTACAGCAGATAAGCAGAGAGCTTGGCTCGGGGCGTTCGGGGGTCCTGTGCAGCCTCGTCTGGGAGGCGACAAGTCACCCTGCTGCCCCAAGGGCGCCCTGGGTGTGATCTGCGGGTGGCTGGGCAGTTTCCCTTCGTTCCTAGCATATTATGCAAGGGCGGTGCCCAGAGTGACAGAGGTATACTTGAAAGACGTGTTTATTTGCATTTGTACAATTTGGCCTTAGTGAAAGGTAAATAGGAAGTGATTGGCGCGTCCTCACTCCACCAAAACCAGGGAAACTCAGCCAATCTCAGGGAAACAAACCAAACCTAACATGAACCTGAGTGAAATGTCAATCTTGCGTAAACACTTGCATTTGTGTTTGGGAAAGAGGATACCGGGAAAACAGGCATTCCTTACAATAGCCTGCTGCCCGTGTTTGGTAAATTAGCAATGGTAGGTTGCCGGGAAATTTGTTGTGTGATGAGCAGGTTCCGCAGATTTTGTTTTGAAGGGGCAGACTGTACTAGTGGAGTCAGGTATTTGTGCAACTCAAGGACACGAACATGTGTTCCAGATCCCTTCTGATGGGGCGGTCAGCCAGGTCGCTCTCCTGGTCTCATTTTCAGAACCAGAGGATTAATCCAAGCTTCACTTTTGAAAAGGAATTCTGTAAACTCAAAAATAAAAGGCTGACCTTTAAAATAGTTTCATTTTCATATATTCATATCTGTTATTCCTGTTTAGAAACTCAGAATGCTAATTATAATAATTTATGTTGCTGTGAGAATTGCCCTGTATATTTCAAGTTTAATGAGTTCATGTGGCCAGGAGAGTAATAATAACTTAACTAGTACTGATAATGCCAGTCTTCTTGCCACAGCCACTATAATCTCTGTTACTAAATTGATGGAACTGTAGAATTTTGTAGTTAGGAGAGTATAGAGGTCATTTAGACCACCTTTGGTACGGAATTGTAAGAATCTCTTTTGTATCATTTCCAATTGCTGTTTGAGGCTGTCCATTCTATTGCTGGAAAGCTGTAATTATTAGAATGTTTTTCATTATATTACATTGGATTCTCTCTGTGTAATTGTCTACCTTGGTTCTTATTCGCCCTTAAATAATGAAAGCCTAAAGTTATTTACTCACATATTTTGATGAGTGTGCTGTGTACTTTAAGACCATGACAAGATAACAGATTCATAGTAGTGATAGCCACATTTTGGGCCCCAAATTCTTCCTTCGTGCCTTATGAAACTGCTTTTGAACTGCTTAGAAACATTGGCAGAATTTCCATTTCAAGGTAGTACATGAGATTAAGCAACATGTTATATCGGCAACAGTATTTTTATTTAAAAAATCCCTTTGATGATTTCACACTTATATCCTACTTTCCTATTATGGTAATTTTGGGGGGTTTATGTAATGTGTGCTTTAGCTGAAATTATTAAATAAAGATAAATTAACAGCCTCAGAAGTGCTCTTTTAGTTCTTTTTTTTCTTTTTTAAACCTCTGTATTAGTTTTCCATTAGTACTATAGCAAATTACCATAGAGTTAGCGGCTTACAGCAGCATCCATAACATCTGTTTATTATCTCACTGTTTCTGTCGGTCAGACGTTTGGGTACAGTAGGCTGTGCCAGGTTCTCTGCTCAGGGCCTCACAAGGCTGGTGTCATGCTGTCAGGAGGCCTGGATTCTTATCTCGTGGCCCTGAGAGAATCTGCATTGGGGCTTATTGGCAGAATTCAGTTCCGTGTGGTTGTAGGACTGAGGTCCTGTTTCTTTGCTACCTGTTAGCCAGGGGTCTTTCTCAGGTCTGCATTCCTTAATCGTGGCTCCTCTCCATCGTAAAAGCCTGCAGTGGCGTGTGCAATCCTTGTGCTTAGAATATCCCTGCCTTCCCCTTCTGTTTTCTTCTGCTTTCAAAGGACTTGTACAATTACATTGGACCCACCTGGACAATCTAGGCTAACTCTAGGATGACTCTCTAAAGTTGACTGGTTAGTAACCTTAAGTACATGGCAAGTTTTGTCATAACAGTACCTAGTTTAGTGCTTGATTGAATGACTAGGGGATGGGAATCTTAGGGGGACATTTTAGAATTGTGTTACTATACCCTTCTAGATATAGTTTTCCTGTGATGGTAATAGTCATAATACATCATTTTAAAGTGATTTTAAGCATATTAATTTAAAAAATTTTACAAGGTGAAATTAAGAAGGCCAGGCAGAATCAAATAACTACTTGTAAAGAATTTTTAGAAGCTTATTAAAACAGTAGACATTCACCATAAGTGGTTATTTTTTAAACTCAAACTTCTGAATTGCAAAATCTCTCCCAGTCTTCTTGTTTTGCTTTGTTTTGTTTTGGGCATTGTAATAGGATAGCATCAGATAAAAGTGAATTTACAGTACCAGTACTATATGTACTACTAACAATTACATTTTATTTTATTTTATTTATTTATTTATTATTTTTTTTCATGGGACAGTTCTGCTTTAGTTTATTAGGAATAATCTTGTACACAGGTCATTTATAATCATCTGATTCACTCACAAACATCACTTGGTGGGCAAATAGATGGCTGGTAAGTAATAGAGCTTTAAGGTGATTGGGGGAAAAAAACTTTATGGCCTTTGTGGTTCCTACTCAAAGTGTGTTTTGATAATAAACGATATTTGATTTGAGATATTCTGAAATACCCTCGATGTTAAGCTAAAGAAATTGCACTGTAAGCACAAATCACTAGACTGTCTCAGTCTGTTCAAGCTCTGAGTTAATAGTTGAGCCACTTTATAGTTGAATTATTAGAATCATGAACCACTTGAGAGTTTGTACCATGTATACAATCCAATCTCTGAAGAATCTAGTGCAGTGCTCTGAGTTTATGGGTATTGAATATTAAATGTTTTTTGATTGTAGGTAAAGTCTTCAGCAAAATTTTATTGTATACTCTGAGAATGAGGTATAGTGAATTAAGCATAGTCAGGTAAAAATTCTCAGAAATAACAAAGTATTTCAAAACATTGTCTCCTCTATGATTACAATAATCATTACAAAGCTGATATACAAGAAGACTAAGAACAGCTTCTAATTTTAGCAATCCAAATCTTTATCTTTTCAGTT